ACAGTTACTAAGAAGAAAATGAACTGTGTCCCAGGACAGATGTGAACAGATGTCCTTCAGATTCTGCTCAAAATATCAGGTCTCCTTCGCTTCCTCACAGAAGAAAAAGCAGCAGAGTTTAGTTTCGTTAAAATTGCAAAGCAGTCAGTGAAAGGTTTACTGCAATGAAAATATGATTCCTCTATTAAAAAACAAAGCAAAACAAARCCAAACAAAACCAGAGGAAAACCCAGCACAGAGGCAGATCTCAGGCTGGATTTTAAAAAAGCAGGATTGCACATTACCATATGCCTGGTAGAAGTGCCAGCACCACACTGCCCTGCAACTGCCTCATGCTGTGGTCTGGACCACAGACTCCATTATACCTGCTCCAATTCAAATCCCTGAAAAGTGAGTCAGCTTGTGCTGCTGGGCAGATTGCTGCTCCTGCTCACAGCAGCTCACCGTGAACTGGCTCAGGCATTCTCTTCAGTCTGCCATGTGGATGCCCCACAATGCCCCAGAAGAGCACACTTCTCAACATTAAACTCCTTGGCTTAGACACTTAGGCATTCACACAGCATTTTTTGTTATAACTGTGAATGAAGCACGTTGAAATTCCAAGCAAGCACCATTCTACAAGAACCAATATTTCAACCAAGCCCATTTGTGCACTTAGTGGTTGATCCACAGCCCACCAGAGACAATGGGAAGATTGCCATTAACTTCACATCAGGCTCATAAAAAATGAGGCAGATAACTCCCATTAATGTTAATGAGAGTCATGTATATAAATCACCTCACTGCTGACAGAAAAAGAAACCTTCTTCTGTTCTGCTTTTTACACAGCTCCCACAGTCTGTGATGTTCATCCTCCTCCAACAGCATTGTGAAGACGAAAGGTGTCTCAAAAGCCACATCATTCTAATGATTTTGCTTTCTGTCAACACGAGTCAGGCTTCATGTAGGCAGAATACATTTAATCATACAGTCATGAAATAATTGCATTCTAACAATGTAATCAACAGATTTTTAATATAACTACTATTTTTTCAAATTCCTTCAATTTGTATAAATCTGTATGTAAAAAAAAAATTAAAACAAATTAATTTTCTCTTTTTAAAACAGAAGGTAATAATAAAATAAAGCATTTATCTCATTAATATTTATATTTGAGAGGAGTTTTAATAGCAATCCAGAAGCTGCATTTTTCATGTACATTTCAACAATGGATGATCGAGAAACAGTGGAGGAAAAATGAGTTATCATTAATGACTTGACACCAGCAGCCGAATATTAGGATTCTAGAAAGCATTGCAAATGGATTTTTAGTTTTCAAGACTAGACTGCAGCTGCTTTGCTCCACCAGGTTCAGTCTTTCTTTGGCTGCTTATCCTTAACTCCTTAATGTGGCACATTAATTATAGCCTCTCAATGGTTCCTTTCCTTCAGGTCCCCGTGTCTAGAAATGTTGCCACTCAAATAGCAAAGTGCAAGCTTTCCATCATTCTAATAGTTAAATAATGGCAAGGCTATGCAATTGAAACAGCATGAAAGGTCACCTTGACAATATTCTGACTGGAAAAAAGTAGCTTAAGGAATCACAGTTCTTTATTGTGAATGAGTTGACTGAGCTTGTTACTCTTCATGATATTTGAATCATTTACAAGTTTGAAACAAAGTAAGAAATACCATTTTGGAATTGCTGCAAATTATCAGATACATCAAATTTAAACACAATATTTACAAAGCATATTTTTGACTATACAGATCAACAAAAAAGTGAGGAGATGCAGGAGCTTGAACCAATGTTACAGTTTCTGGAACAGCTGGCGTAGAGAGTCAGATGAAATGTAAACCTCAGCAGAAGTCCATAAGTAGCTTTAGTCATCAGCAAAGCTCCCGGAAAGCTCTATTTTCAGGATTTAAGGTTATACACTGGGGCTTTGAAGAGAGAAATTTTGTGCCAAATGACATTAATAAACTGCCTTTGTTACGTGTTTTATGGAAGGAATAAGAGCAAGACTGGATTTCACAAATTTCTGTGTTGGAGGTGGGACCAGGACCAAAATTCCCACAAATATACAGCAGTATGATAATCTTGCTGTAATCAATCTGGTAAAACAGTGAAAGAAACCTAAATTTTCTGTCATCTCTATTTTATTCTTAACCAAGCACTTGAAGTTTCATGTGCCCTTTAATATAGGTCTTCAAATTAACCTCGGCTTAATTTTCTGAAGTATTTAGCTAGAATGTTAAGACTAGATTTACCTGTTAATAACTTCACTAAAGACAGTGGAGCTAACAGCCTTGAACTTGCTTTTGTGTTTCCTTTCAGAACTGCTAATTGCAGAAATCGATCAGTTTAAGGTCCTTATGTTACATGATTTAACAAAAGGCGAGGTAAGATCCAAGCTATATGGATTTGGGCAATAAACACATCATTAACTGAAGTATAGTGAGCACTTCAGCTGCCAGTCTTCTGGTATGTCTGTATTTCCTTCCAAGGACATAAAAATGTGGAAAATACTTGCTGCTTTCCCTATCCATTAGGAGCAYTAGGCAAAGCCCTGGATTTGAAATGTGCTGGATACTTGATCACATACATCAATACTTAAGGATCCATCTTTCAACTTGCTATTAATCTTTTATATCGATTTTACTACTGCACAAATTTCTGTATAATCAAATTTGAATCAAAGCAGAGGGCTGGATACTCTGAATGATGGGACACAATCTTACACAAAGGAGCTATAAATTCCTTCACTAAGCAAGGTCTATTTGCTAGAGATTAATTAAATCAGTACATCTTCAGGGCTCTTTTACTACTTCATCATCTAGTTTCTCATGTATGTACTGACAGAATGAAAAAACAACAACATGCTGATTAAAGACTTACCACCCAATGAGCATTTTCCTGTAATAATTAAAAAATCACCAATGGATGACACTGTATTAAAAGGTGCCACCAGCAGCTGACAGAGAGACTAATACATATATAGCATAAATGAATAAATTGTAATAGGATGAACATATAAGAAGCTGCAAGATATATCTCTTAAATGTATTGTTCTTACTTGTGGAAAATAATAAATTTTAAATTTTCACCTAAAAATAAACATTTTTCCTGTAGCTTCAGAAAAAAAACCAAACCCAAAGATAGAGAATAATCAGGGTTGTCAGTATTAAGACAAAGCTTGTGTGTAATGCACGTTTTGTTTCCTGCTGAGGCTTGTCAGGGTAATTATTTTGCTCTGAAAGGTGCGGGGCAAGTGATGCAGCTTGCCAGCAGCATACTGCATGACTCTGGCTTAGAAGAACAGTATAACAACGCAGTCCATTTCCAGCAGCAAAGGAGGAGGGCTGGGTCTGAACTTCTGGAGGTCCTCTCACAACATGACATCAAATCTTGGCTTTAGGTGAACATTTTGGTCAGCAAATTCACACAAAACCCTGCCACAAATGCTGCCTGAAGTGTGATGCTCTCTCTTCTTTTTAAAAGGCAGCAACCTAGATGSGCAGGGTGGACATATCAGACATTTTTAAGGCCTGAAAGGCCACACTGTAACAGATGTCCACACAGTTTCTCTATGTCCTTGTATTGATCTAACATTTGATTCAGCTCCATGTAATAACCTGTCAGAAGTGTTTCTCTAGGAGCTGAGCAACAATGATGTTTGCACAAATATTTCTCTGGAAACACTTCCTGTGCTTCTCTAGGTGAYAGGCCATATTTACCAGCCACTGCAATAAGGTCATAGTGCTTCCAGACGTCAGTCTAAAGGGAAGCTCCTGGTAGTGCCCACCTCGACTACAGGTGACTGTTGAAACTAGTTTCATGGTATGTCTTGAGTAAAAAAAATAACAGAAAAAAATTACCAAAAAACAGGAAAGAGTCCTAAGTGTAACTAAAAAAGCATCACAAACATCAATGTATAATACTCTGAATTCATGTGTGATCAGCTTATTTTTTGCTGTATTTTTATAGAGGATAAATAATTAATTGATAATATTCTGTAGTCATTAAAACAGCTCTGCACTGGATATGATCCCCATCCATTAGTGAGCTGAGCTGGATGAAAGAAACACTAACACTTTTTTTGTGGAACAGGGACACGGTGTTCGTCAAAGACATTATCTTGACACTGAAATCACAAAACCATTGCCAAAGGCTTGATCCCACCAACAGACTTGTATGGGTGAAACTTCTGCTCATTCCTATTTGCAAAAAGACCTTAGTTATAGTTTAACCAAATATTTGTAAAAATGTAGGAAATACAGGGTTGACCTCAAATTACRAACAAAATTCCCACTATTATCCCTAAAGCCAGGTTTTAAGCCACCATYTAGAAGTGGATTTAAATGCACTGAGGTAACAGCTCCATAAATGACAATTTTCTTATGAAGTGCAAAGACAGAGTTTGAACTTTCTCTGCTAAGTTTGCCTGTGCACAGAGGTCTTTTATAATATAAATTTAAATACACAATCTGTTTTATAATGTTTTCCATCATCTCTCTTCTCCATATGTTCTCCCACTAGGAATCTAATGAGTTCTACGTATGAGGGATGACAAGGGAATATGCCTGAGAAATAATTCCAGCAATTATGGCATATGGAGGCATTGTTTTTGAGTCACTTTTGCCATGAACATTAGGCAGAGCATCTGGGDCCAAATTATGTCTACCTGCCCATGGACATTATCAAAATCATCATCTTCCATTTGTAAATTCTGCTGAGGTAATCTGGCATACAGAGAGAACCATTTTATCAGCTTTATGATCAGAGAGCATATTGAAACACAGTCCATTTACAGTTAGGAAAAAAGGCTTCTCTTTAGAAAGAATAGTTTAAGTTGGAAACTATTTTAAGATAAAATTATAGAAACACATCATCTCTCTTCCCTCTTCTGTTCAGTTCCAGGCCACTATTTATTAAAAAAAWATTCTCATCATTACTGGAGTTTTGTAAGAACTAACTGGATCCTAGGACAAGAGAAAATGACCAAAGAAAAATGAAAATAAGAACAAAAAGATGCACAAACTCTGAATCAGTAATGGTAAGGATTATATTCTCTTTACTCAAATATGACAAGGCATTGGTAATTAATCATAAGGAGGAATCACTGAAAAAACCTACTTTGCATGGAGATACAGTAACTAAAGTAGTGCACATTTTTAAGTTCTGGTTTAAATACTAAGACATAAGGCTGGAAAATTCAAGTACAGTTTTTGTCACGTTTGTTATGACAGTAAGGAGAAAAGAGATCAAGAGATTCAACCAATATGCTCATATGGAGTAAACTGGCAACTCCACATATGCCTCATACTCAAGAAAAATGTCTCACCAATGTGCATAACATAAGTATTTTTACATATTGTTTTCCCAGCTGTGCAGTTGAAGCACTGAAAGCCATAAATCCCAAGCTACAGTGTCCTTAAGTTAACTCAATGTTTTAGCAGAAAAAWGAATGTCCCTGCTGTTATAGTGGATCTAAACCAAATTTTACATATTACTGTTATGAATATAAACATAATTTAAAGAGCTAACATAGAACTTTTACAGTTAGGGTTACACATAAGCAATAATATTCCTACAATACAAAATATTTATTTAATTTATTTGGGAAATAAAATAGTTTTCAGAACTGAAAGCCAGATTTATTTCAAGTCTTTGAATCCCATATTGATGGAATTAGTGATATTTAATCAAGAGAATCTATTATCAAGGAATAACTGGATTTCACTTCCCATTGCTATACAGATTGACCTGCCTACTTGCAAGGAGACAGTGAAAATAGAGAGAAATTTGTTTAACCATTAACCTGCAAAGGGACAAGTGAACTTTAATGAATTTTAATGAATTTACTCAATCAGAATTTCTAAACAAAATGCTGAAAATTCTGCATTTGAAGGCCTTATCCAAACTACACTGAAAGCACCACTGTGCCTTGCCATTTTTGTCATCTGGCTTTGGAGCAAATCCCAGAGACACAAGACAGACCTTTCCACCACCCCAAGAACAGGGGGGTACTGCTGTCACCCCCAGAGCCTCAGGCTCAGGATCATCGATGACTGCACCCCAGTGCTCACAAGMTGGATCCTCTTCCCCAAAACTGACACGGTGATGAAACCACACTACAGTGGTTTGACTCTCCTGGTATTCTCTTCACCGCAGTCTGATAAAGAACTGCCACTCCCTCACACAAGAGTCTCCAATGTCACCATCAATGGCCCTCCTGCCAGATGGTATTAAGTTAGTTTCAAATAAAGAGACATTGGCAACACTTGTTATCTCACCTGTCAAAATTAAGTTTTGGGAAATTCAACCTTTTCATACACTATTTCTCCTAATTACCACATAAGCAGTACAGATGAATACAGCAGATACAAATACAATACCCATAGTTTTGCTAAAATATTTGTAATGACCGTCTGCAAAGTAGTGTCCAAAGTTACATAACCTCTAACAGAAACAAGATCAAAGATTTAATCTGGAAATATTTGCTCATTGTATGAAAGAACAAATGGAAAAGTTTATCAGGGTACAAACTGTGTTATAAAGACAAACAAAGTGATTGAGTAGTTCTTATTATTCAATTTAATACCACTGAATCCATGGGAAATTGTTTAATGGCATCAGATTGTTCAGGTGCAATAGGTCTGATGCAGAGCTATCTAACTTTTGGCAAAAAGAAACTGGAGATTAGGGCAACACTTCTCTGTTGCCCTATCAAAACGTTTGTTGCAAATCAAAACTGTGCTCATTTTCCTTGCCAATATCTTGGTTAACAACAGATGTGTAAAATTTGAGGCATGAAGGAGGAGGCAGTAAATCAACAGAAAAGGATGCCAATTGCATATTTCTGTTACGTTGTTACAGACTTTCATGCATTACCTGGAAATTATAAGAGCCAGCTGTACAATTATAACAAGCAAAAAAATTCCCCGAATATATTTTTATGAAACCTAACAAAGTAAAGAGATATATATCAGATTTTTTACTTTCAAAATAAATGTATCTGATGTGCTGTGAAAACATATAGATCCTAAACAGAGCTGCACTGGTTTGGTGAAGTAATCTAATGCTACACCAGTAATGTTTTTAAGCTGTTAGGAGAGCAGAGGAGCCAAGATTTAAAAGATACAGGATAAGTAAAAAAACTGAAAATGTATAGCACGGTAGGTGAATTTATAGGTAGTAACAGTGGTATCTGCAACAGTGCTGTTTTAAAAGTTAACATTCATTATGACCAATATACCAGATACAACCAAGATCTAGACTTGTTTTATAAGCTGTATTTYAGATTTATTTGTTCTGATATGGATATTTTTTTCATTAAATTCACATAAGGATTTTCTTTTGTGCTTTTTTGAATTGATCCAATCCATTTAATTGTGAAAGGYATGAACAAAGCAGTGATTTTTCTTTCCTTATCAATGCACTATCATTTGGAACTGCAGAATTGGAATGCATATTCTGCAGTTCAGAGTTCTTGATGATTACTGAATCCAAAGGGCAACATGGATTTCCCTCTGATCATGCCTGAATATTTTTGTAATTAGATTAAATAATCCAGGAAGTAGTGTATAAGGAATCAGTTATTAAGCAATTCACAAGCCTACAAGATGAATGCACATAGCTGATCCAGTCAGCTGTATTCCATTYTCAAAGGAGCACTAAACTGGCACAGTGGAAACCTGAACTGTGGTTCCCAGCTTGCTTCAGAGTGCACAGCCAGATCTGGTAAACTTGCTTTATTCCCTTTTTCTTTTAAACAGTTCCACAAATTAACCTGAAACATTACTTTACCAGGATTGTCTACCATGTCTTGCTGCTACTTAAAATATCTAAGCGATAATTTTTCAGGATTCATATTTTGTGAAGAAAAAGAAAATTTATTAAGTCTGACCTGAAAACATCAGTACACCCAATAGAATTTGCCATAGGTATCAGTTCTTTTCAAAAAGAACCTTTCAAAGTGGTAGGAGATATTCTTGGGTCTATTGAAGAAATATATAGTTAACATAACCTTTGAGATTCTTATTCACTAAAARATTATTTTGTTCCATATATAAACAGAATAGATCTCCAAAGTGCACATCCATACAGGGAACTCTATTTTATATTACAATTTTATTCACTTGCTATGAATAGTCACAACATTAATCTACTGCAGATAATCTACTCAGTATATTTGAAAATCCACTTATTTTCATTTATTGGTATGCATGTGTTACACTTGTTTATAATACAGTATTTTCAGCGCTTTTTAAGAACAAGGAAACAAAGGAAACAAGTCTTGAGAAGCATGATAGATTTTCGACCAAAGAGAGGCCATATTCAGATTTTACAAAACAGCACGTTTACACTTTGCACTGTCCCAGACAACCTCTTTAAGATACTACCTTCTGTCCTGAATGTGTTAGCACAAACCCATATAATACTAATCCATCCTAAAATACCAAGATACCTAGTTTCTGCTACAAATGGTTTATTCTAATTAAATTTTAATCAGAAAATAAGATCTTTTTCTGCCAATATATATTTTTTTTTATTTTCCAGCAGAATGATAGAATATACTTTTCAGTTTTATTCCCAGCAGTCATTTATTTTATTTAAGCTCTCCTTTGCAATAATACAGCAGAGGTAATGAAATGGTTTTTGAACAGCAGGGGCTACAGTGACAGGCAGAGCACTCCAGGGTGTTCATCCATCATGGAACTTAATATATAACTAAACTAGCCATGTCAGTGTCTTGTAATGATAAAATAATTTCCCTCTATTTCCTTTTTTCTTTTTCTTTTTTTTTTCTTTTTATTTGCTGTGTCTGGTAACTGCACAGGACTTAAATAAGCTTACCTCTATGTATTTTTGACTACCATTAAGTGTGTGTGGATTTCATTTCAATTCACCAAAGCATACAGTCAGAACTCCCTCTAGTCAGTATGTTTATGCAGTGTCAGTAAAAGGAATTACCAAATTTCTTCTGTATCAACATTACAGATGGTACAATATACATTAAATGSAGTATAAAATTATACATTCTGTAATAACTTAGAAAAAATTTCAGAGATGCTTAAGGCCTTTAAATATTGAGGATTTTTTTCATGTAACAGCACATCGCAAAGTTCAAGAATTTCTAACAAAACAAAACCAAAAAAAATTACACTTTTGCGAGGGTCAGATCTGAACTGGATGACTGTAAGCAAGCAAAATACCCATGAAGTGTAAATCTGGGAGAGCACTAGGACTTTTTTCCTTTATAGCAAACAAACTGAGCAGACATCTACATAAGCATCCATCAGTACTTAGGTACAGGCAAGAGATTTTATTTTTCAATAAAAAGACAAAAAATCTGAATGATTACCATCCAATAACATAATTGCAAATCTCATTTACATCCCTGCCTATGTTTATAAAAAAGGGATGAAATACTGTAATTGACTGCTTACCATGAATTTAAACGAATTAAAGGTTAGGAAAGTAAAGTACATACTGGGAACACCCATTTCCTTCAAACTAAATGGAAATGTGTATCTTAAAGATATAAAATGCCTTATAATGGAAGTGGTAATTGAGTTTTGACCACTACTTTCTTTAACTGTTAAGCCGCAGTAGTTGGTTAGCCTTAGGGAAACATGTCAACCTGACTATACATTCTAATATGACTGATGTATTCAGATAACTATTACTTGTCAACAATAATTATTAACAATGGATATATAATTCCATTCCTATAACAAAGCAACTTCAAGATGTTGAAATATGTACCTTTGAGAGCTGCAAGATTAGAACACAAATAAAAATGTCTAAAACTGCGCCATGCCAAAGGACAATTTCTGCAACAGAAATTTAATTAAAGCATTGTGCAGTTCCACCAGCAATCTGAACTGTGGACCAGGGATCRTTTTTGAGTGAAGGATCCAATACATTTCAGAAGTTGACTTCATCAAGAAGAAAAGCCTCTGATCTGCAACGGAGAACCCAAAAGTTTGCTGCTCTTCTGCACCTTTAGAATATCAGCTCTTGATTACAGCTGCAAATTCCTCAACAAGTGCAATTTTACAAGTGTACACAGTTCAATCAGTTGAAATATTTGTGACACAGAAGTTCAAAATAACTTTCCAGTAGTTTTGATTTCAAGTCTGTTGCTGATTACAAGCCAGGTTCTCATTGAAACAATTGATTCTGCTGAAGGATACACCCCAGCAGTACAAAATTTCACTTCAAGGATTGCCTGGAGGGATGAAATTCTTATGTGTTGTATTTATTATCAGCCTTGAGACTGGCTTGATTTGTCTTCAGCTATCGGGTTACCTGTAAAGAAAAAGAAAATCAGAAAATCAAAACTGGACATAGCAAATCTACTTCTGAGATACTGGAAACTGAGACTGAAATGTAAGATCTCTGTCCAGCAAAGCTCTTCCAATTGTTTTTAAATAAGTGAATATATCCCAATGATATTAGATGGCATTGCTCCCCAATTTAAATTGTGTGTTTAAGTGCTTTGTGGGAATAGGATTTGACAAGGAGAAATCGAAATGTGACCATGCCTAAAAATATAATAAAATCCCAAATTACCAACCCACCAATCTCTGTTTTCTGTTATTCTTTTTTTATTGTTTTTAAGAATTCTGTATGGTAACAACTATGCTTTTAAAATGTTAGCCATYGAGTATACAGTAATTGATAGTGGAGCTGTATTCTTCCATTCTTTGCATGCCTCTTTACAACACASTCATAAAATCATGGAATCATTTAGGTTTGAAAAGCCAATGTCCTGTTAAAGGCTTAATACATCTTAGCAAGCAATAATCACTTAGTGGAGAAACAGTGGAGAAATCCACGCACATGTTAAAAAGAGATAGAAACCCTGTTATTCACAAAGTAAAAATTACCAAGGATTTAATTTAGAGTGGTTTCACCCAGCCTAACATTGAAGAGTGAAACTGAAGGACCACAGAAAAAGAGAAAAGCATTTCACAATAATTGAACTTTCTCTGTAACTTATTTGGATTTTAAACTTTAAAAGAAAAAAAATCTCTCATATCAAAGAAACATAACTTTGAGGAATATTTCTGCTGTGTCAGTGAATACAATTAATCGTCATGTAACCTTTAATACCAAATTGTGTCAGGGGACAACTTCCTGATGCTTGAGGAACAACTCATTGGAATGGTCACAACACTTTATGACATCAAGGGGCATATGCTTTTCATTTTGATCACAGAGAGAAGGGTCACACTCCTCTAATGATGAAACATTCTTTTGCCCTCAGCAAAAATGTTTGCATACAGCTCATCGGCTCTGCAGAGCATAAACGTGGAACAAACAGAATATTAAACAGACTGTTCAAGGAGTTCATTACTTCAGTATGCCATCTCCACTGAGTTGTTTCTAGGAACTGCACTTAAGGCAATAATAAAATTGTGCTTCATGATTTTTATGATACATGGGTTTATTTATTACACTACTTTTATTTGGCTTTGCTCTTGCTGTTGGAAACAGCCTCATGTGGCCGCTTCTAAAGTGGAAGATTGCCTGAAAAAATAATAAAGAATTAATTTAAAAGTCAGGCAACATATTTCCATGTCCTGCACCAAAACTCAAAAGGCTGACGCACCATTTTATTGTTACCTATTTTTTGCTTTATTGTAACAAGCTGGAATTCTACTCATAGAGCAGGTGCCACTGAGCTACACAATGTAAAATACATATCTTCTGATACTATCCACAGGTGGATTTTTATTAGCTTCATTTGCAATATATGTCTATATATCTATATCTATGTCTACCTATCTATGTGCCCAGTAAAAAGCCACTAAGGTAAATCAGACACAGGAGCATCTTCATTTGAGGAAAGGTGAGAGCACTGCAACCGTTCAGTCTGGAGAAGAGGGGGTTCAGGGGGGATCTCATCAATGAGTACAAACACGTGACAAGAGAGTGCTAAGAAAATGGAGCCAGGCTCTTTTCAAGTGGTGTGAGCAGCAGGACAAGAGGCAATGAGAACAAACAAACACAGGCAGTTTCCTTTCAGGAAAAACTGAGCTCTAGCACAGATTGCCCAGGGAAATTGTGGGCTGCATTCCTGAAGATATTCAAAAGCTGCCTGGTCCTGGGCAGCTGGCATTACATGGGTCTGCTTGAGCCAGGGGTGGCACTTCCAGAGCTCCCTTCCAACCTCAACTATCCTGACATATACAATACAATATGATGTATTATTTCTGTCACACCCAGCTCTGCCACACATGGGCGAAGGTGATCAACTGCAGCTAGCAAAAAGAGTAGCTTTGCACATACATGWATTCTCAGTTGCATGGCTATTTGGAAGTGCAAATGTACTTTCAGTCACACAAAACCAGTAAAAACATAACCTTCAGGCCTAGCTGCACCTCCCACCTAAATCTACAATACTGTGGTRGAAATATCCCTATGAAAGCAACATATGCAGTCACATAAATTACGTAGTTGATTAAAATGAGAAAAAAAGGAGATAGCCATTCAAATTTCTGCTCTATATCAGGTCACTGACATACATATATATACATATAGTGGTCCACATTTGCTTCTATGTGATACTTGTTATGTGCAAGCATAGATTGCACACCAACATAAATGGAAGTTATATATATATATACACCAGACACATCAGGGAGTGAATATACCTCTTGGTTGTTAAAGGCAGTTTCACAGACAAGCAATGAAATTTTAGCTAATGTCTAGTGATGGTATTCCCAGAAATGCTTAATTTTGGATATTGTAAATGCTCTTTGATTTAAGTGTCTGGGAAGTAAGGTATTAAGGTATTATGCCAAAGGCCTTTATAGGAAAAGAGGGTCCAATAACAGTATGTGTCTGATCTTTAAAATCCTTGGAGAGCAGTAACTCCCTGAACAGGTGCAAATCAAGTCTAATCAGGTTTTCAGTTAATAATTAATACATATGGAAAATTAAAAATACAAAAGAAAAAAGGACATGAARCCTTTAGCATTCTAGGTGTAGATTTGAATTAATTTGTTCATTCTCAGAACACAATTACTCCCTTTGTACTAATAAAATTTTTCACATCGTTGTTATATCATAAATACACCACATTAGATTCTCTTCACTTTCTTGTCCTAAATGTGCAATTAAAGCATAATTACTCTGCAGTTGCAGACTTTTAAATTTAAATTAGTGAGTGGCTGCTGTAAATTGGCTGTAATTGTATGTGGACTCACTTGTTTTATTTTAACACAACAATATATAATTAAATGCACCTGAAGATTTCCACATTATTCTGCTCACTAAATGTTCAGAACAAACTCAATCTTTGGGTAAAACATTTTTGCCAGGGTAACACAGAATGGACCAGAGATTAAAATATCTCCTGACATCATATTAGAAAAACCAGCCTCAAGAGGATTTTCTGGACAACCTCCATTCCAGTGCTGCTCACAACGGAAAAAAATATCCTCACTTGCGAAATCCACACAGTGGATGAATAAAGCAGATAATATTGTTATTTCATAAGAATAGATTCTCAATAAAACTCAAGTATGATACTTTTTCTCAGGACTTTCTTCTGCCTTAGAAGAGGAAGGAAAATCAAGACTATAGGATGTAAAGAATGGCTGAGTGAATTTTCCCTGAATAGTAAAGCACTKCTCCCTAAATTCAACCACCTAAGCATCAAAGCTACAGAATCACAATTAGGTACTAAAAATCTTCTGTTTCTTCAGAGAAAAATATATATCACTAATCATGTGCTAAGTACAGAATAGCTTACATCCAAAATTAGGCATAAAATTAATTATTATTTAATAATGTTAGAATAAAATAGATAATACATGATATATTGAAATTAAGTRTGGACTGGGACATTTCCTAATACAACGTATGCATTACTATTTTTTGACTGGCAGCTTTTTGATTTCTTTTTGTGCTGATCATAAATCATACAAAAAATCCATATTGAAAACTAGGTCTTGAGTTTGCAAATTCAAGCATTTGAAAGTTAGCAACTTGCTTTTTTATGTGGCCCCTTGCAATTTATTTTTTCTCTTTTCCATCATGCACAGTAAAGAAGAGACTTTAGTGGGTGGGGAGAGTTAGAGAGAAGCCAAGACCATGTATCAATGTAAGTGCAGAAAAGGGACAATTTTTAAGCCAATGTGTCTTCCTTCCATAGTTCATCCCACATGGTTGGACTCCCTGTTCTAGGTTTTCTCCAAAGAAACAGAAATAAACCAATACTGGAGGTTTCCTTTTTAACTGGAACTGTTCCATCAACTATATAGGCATGTGTGTGGTCATAGCCTGTGTCAGCTGAGTATTCTTTTCTTTT